AGCCATGATCAAACCTCATGTGTTAGCTAAATAAGCTGATCTTGATACATGTTAAACATATTAGTTAAAAGTCAACATATCACTTGTTTAAACCATNCAATCTATGCTGACAGTACACATGCATACAGTATTCCAAGTTTGTAGGGCTTTTATTCTGAAATGCCACATCAGATGTTGCCCAAAGTTGCTGAGGAACATCTGGGAGTGTTGTACAGTTACCCTGAAGTGACAGTGTTTCTTGGAAACTAACAGTTTAGTTGCAATAAAGACAGCAACTTATGCTGACAGTACACATGAATATTCAAAGTTTGTAGGGCTTTTATTCTGAAATGCAACATCAGATGTTGCCCAAAGTTGCTGAGGAACATCTGGGGGTGGTGTAGTTACCGTGAAGTGTGTGTTTTTTGGAAACTAACAGTTTTATTGCAATAAATACAGCAACTTGATTTATCAGWTATAATTTTTAATATATATTTGTTTTCATGGGTTTATGAAATGGCAACACAGTCTTCGTCGGAGTGCAGGCTGGCCATGTTTACTCCAGTCTAGTACCTTGTTTCACGTGAGCMGCTCTCCAGCTGAGCAGATTGTTTTGCTTGCGTCGAGGTGGAAGTGAACCRTACCCCTTGTCTTTTGTTTTATTTGTTTTTTATGTAGTGTGTTAGTGGGGTGTTCAAATCTATTTTCATGAACCGAWTGACTTTGCAATCCTCATGGTGTCAGGCGTTGAAATATTTTTTATTTTATTTTTTACAATTGGTACAGAATTATTGTCCTTTTTGTAGTAAATAATATTAATTTTATTGTATCTAAATGGCATTTATATTTACCTGTCCCTTATCTTACAGGCTACATTACTACAGACTAAAAGAGACGTTGGTTGCCAAACAGAGCAGTTTGGAAAACGGACTACTGGAACACAGATATCTCTAAAAACTCTTGGACCTAAGTTCCGATCCAAAGGTGTGCAGTTTCTCTTGAATGTTTAGGATTATTATTTAGGAGGCTTGGACTTCCTTTGACTTCACATGACTTKCACGTACTGTAAAAAACACAATGAAATCAACACATAAACATTTAAACAAAGTTAAACATAATGTGCTGAAATTTATTAACACAGGGTACACCATGCACCCATTTCAGTTTACAGCTGAGCTTTTTAGTCTGTTGTTGTTTAGTCTGTTTATTGACATTCTCTGTTCCAACATAGCTGTCCACGCTACGGTGTCAACAACAGACGTTGCAGTTGGCATGGCCAAAAGTCCTCTCTCTGCACAGCGTATCACCACATCAGCTCCTATAAATAAACTCTGTGTGGTAGAGGACATGGAGATTGATCTTGAGGGCAGCAGTTCAATGGTCACCTCTTAAGAGCTGGACCCAACTTATGACGCTGCTGAATCTGTCACCATTTTGACGGTGTCTGCAGACATTTTGTAAGTAAATACTTTTCTCTTTCAACATGTTATGTTTTTTTATCATGCTGATTTTCATAAATTTGTATTYATTATTTTACAGAGACATTACAACCACTACAACACAAAATGAAAAAATGCATATTGTGTATGAGAACAGCATTGTGGACTTGTTCAGCTAGTGTTCGGTGTTCGGTGTGCAGGCACAAATGCATCATTATAACAAGGCGACTTGGCACGTTCGTCTCCGTGGTGCAGAACTGCCCCCRCTGCAAGTACAACCGAACATGGAACAGCCAACCACTACTTGGTAACACTCCAGCTGGAAATCTACAACTGTCAGCCGCAGTATATCTCTATGTCCAGGACGTTCACATTCACGAGGACCCTGCATTCCCTGACCGTCTTCATCCAGTTCGCCAAACCAAGGATAAAAAAAAAAAGGCTTACAGCAGGTATCTTTGACAAATATTAAAAAGCACAACGTTCATCATGTTTGTTTTTAATTTATGTTTAATCATAATTTATCCTTTTTTAAGGAACTCCAGCATTTTACCAACTGGAGAAGCTGCTGAGTACCAAAAGGGTCTTTAAGGATGTCGCAAAACTCAGTCCCCATTACCAAACATCTGCATTGGAAGCATTTTGCAGTGCCATCTTGTGATTTGCTCCAAAAAAATGTAGTTTATCCTTTCATTGGAACGCTTTGCAGGTAAATAATTTAATATACTTTATAATGCTTAGTGTGTATATGACATTACTCGTAAAAAGGTTTACAACAAAACTGTTCTTTCATTCTTTAGAAGAGGTTAAACTTGAGAGAATTGAGAGAAGAAAAACATCTTCAGTTTCTGAATAAAAGTGCAATGATTTTGTTTTTAACACTGTTCTGTTTAATCCTGACCTCGATGACTGAGAATCTTCATTGGCATTCCAAATTTATTTTTATTTTATGTTTTCTTGTGCAGACTGTACTTGGCTGCTCTACATTTCAATGAGAATTCAGATCGTGAACAGGYCACAACGTCCTCTGGGGAGCCTCGCTACAGCGTACACTTTCCCAAGTCCAAGAAAGGCGAGTGCAGTGTAAAACCCAGGAGGTAACCTTTGGTGAGTGTTAATTTTAATTACAAACAGAACACCAAACAAAAAAATAACATTTAGATATTGTAAAAATGTAAACAGATAACTGATTGTTGAATTCTGCACAGGATATGTTGAAGACTTGATGGGTATGATCACAGGACCAGTCTTTCAGGACCCAGAACCATATCGGGTGGAACTCCTCGGAATACAAGTCCCWCCAGACCTGGCTGCAGGATATGACCATCCTGAAAAGGAAGAGGTGATCCGAAAGTTCATGTCAYGCTTCAGCAAAGGGGAGGGAGTCTGAAGCCAACATACTGTCCTTGGCRGTCAGGAAACTCTGAACGAATCTTCAGGACCACACACGAGGAGAGGACAACTCTGATCCTGCGCCCAAGAAATCCCCRACACCAACTCACAAAACTTCTGTAGGCCACACATCTGTAACGACTGAAATGACAACAGTATTGCTTAGTTTAATAAATTATATATTTTTGAATATTTTCTGTGTGTATGTCTAATACCAGTTGTAGTTCAAGAGAAGACATTGATTATTTTTTGGCTGTTTCATATGTTAATTCTGCAGRAACATTAATGATCTATTTCAAATAAGTTAAGTAAGAATTATAAATTTATCTCTGTTTTCATGAAAAACTGTAAAATATNTCATCACTCTAGCTTGTTTCTGTTTGGAGAAAAATGACGTGTTGCAACCGTCCCTTGTTGTTACTGTCCCCGGTCTCTCCTACGACCAAAACAAAACTTGATTTAGTTAAAAAAAGTGTTATTTTTACCTAAAGTAGTCTTATCCCATGCATAGAAAACAATATTGGTAGCGTCATGGTGTGGGTCTGTTGATTCATCAGGGTTTGGTTGGTTTACCATAAATGATGCAACAATTTAAGAGAGTAAATTTGAAAACGGAAGCATCTGCTTACAGAACAAACATGATAATAGTTGATTTGTTTCCATGAGGTTTCAGAGTTACACAAGAAATGATTCCGTCAGTCAGATGAGCAGGACTCATCATCTGTTAGTGGAAAACATCACGCTGTTACGCAAGAAGATCCCGGCAGAAACTGAAACACGTTAAAACACTGATTTGGATTATTTTCTTCATGAACAAAATAAAGAATCATGTTTTTATTATGTCAAAAATGAAACTGAACATTTTTGACGAGAATTTTCAAATCTTTTTTTGTACTTTTTGAAAATGTAATGATGTTTTAGGCATTATTCAGGGGGTAAATGATGACTGTATAAACTTTGCATCATCCCTGATTATTATGGGATGCAAACTGACTCATAAAATATTGCTCTACTGGGAAGTAAAGCTGAATAAAGTGCTTTGTTTAAGGCTTTCACGACTCAATTAAATATTAATTTAAACGGTCCTTTTTTAATTTTGCATGTTAAGTTATTATTTTTTGGTATGGAGTCAAGCATAAATTAAAAATCAAAACAATTTCCAGAGTTTTGAGGAGGTTTTTCTGTTTGTGAAAGATGATTTGAACATGTCCAACAGAAATATTCCAGAGTTGTTTCTGTAAAAAATAAAATAAAATAATTTCCTGCTTGTCATTAACTTCTCATCACGCAAACCTAACTTTTAAGTAAATAACTCAGAATGAGAACTTGTTTTGTCAGTCTCATGAGGCCTCTCCGTTTGTAGGTTTAGAGGTGTTTTAGTGGGAATCTTAAAGATGTTTGCGCTCATAAAAAAACATACCTGGCTATCAGTAAGTCTGTGACTTGTAATTCTTTCCTACAGCTACCAAAACAAGCCAGCGCTAAAACAATTTGTCATCCATCAGAGTAGACAAACTTGTTTCTTCTGCTTGTTTTCCTACTTTTTTCTTAACAGTTGAACCCTTTGACATCCAAACAAATCTATTATTTTGTGTTTATTATTTGGTACTACTACAAATCATTTGTTTATAAAAGATTAGATTTCTGCAGAAACAATGCCACAGTTAGAAAAAAGAAAATCGTGCCAGAGTTTGATTAGTCATATCATTAAATTTATATCTGGGGTGAGTCAAATTATGTGCAATTTTATAAACCCTAACTGTGATATATATTTCAGTAAAAGAAGAGTTTATATTTGTTACAGTAACAAATAAAGTTTCTGAAGTGAACACAGTTTTATGGTCATTTCTAAAACAATGAAATGTCTAATAAATTTCTATTATGCAAGTTTGTTGTATAACAATTTTTTAGATTGTTAGCTGCCATTGTCATTTAAATAATAATGAACTGTTGTAACAACATAAAAACCATATTTATGTGACCATAATAATAAAATATTTTGTATGTAATGTCCTGCTTTAATTTTTACTATAAATGTGTTTATTTTGTATTTTGTGTCTTTTATAAATTGTAACAATATGTTAATAAATACCATTTTAAAATGGAATTAAGACAAGAAGTATAAGTACATTAATAATTTATTATTGGTTGATTCGTTTATCTCAAACATGGTAGGAAAAAAGGTAAAAATAGAACTTCTAAAGTAAAAAATATATATTTTATGCATTTATTGTACATACATTGTATGTTACCGATTGAGTAGTTCAAAATAGAAACAGGAAAAAATACAATAAAAAAACGAAATAGTACAATCATGTCGTGAATGCTCTTGGTTTGCTCTTATCTTTGCTTCCTGTKGTTGTTGGTTGAGCGGCTGAGCTGAACGTGTGGCGCCACTTCCGTCGCCCCCTCGTGGCGAGTAACGAAGCTACGATGTAGCGCTCCCGCTGCATGCCACGGACATGTAGTTGAACTCCTTGAACTCTCTGAATCACACAAGAAACAAAACCTGAACAAAACACCAGAAACATAAATATGTTTGGGTAATATTTATTAAAAAATAAAAGATAATTTACAAAAGCATCAATATTTAATTTTAAAGCGAACGGATTGTTACCTGTTTTACGTCGGAACGGATAGCTTGGAGCCTTGCAGACGGTGAGTCCAGCCTCCCCGCGTTGCGCTGCATTAAGTTTGCCTGCAAATATTAGTTCACTTATCCTGAAAGGAGAGTGGTGTTTTGAACAAACGTGGAATGTGAAAGAGCTTTAAACTACGTGTTTTGTAGTTTGGGACATGGTAATTAACAACTGACCAGCGTGACTTGAGCTTAATGTGGACGTTTGGACGCGTGGTTAGCGGTGATGCTAACAGGTTGTCTTTGACGAGCGGCTCAGATGTATTCAGAGCTACAGATAGTTTATTTAATCTAAACGTGCACCTGCTGCTATTTATTTTTATGATAACTTTATAAGAAAAACAAGTTTGAGGAGGCATTAACCCTCTGGTGCATGAATTATGAAAGCCCCATGGACTCAAAAATTTGATATTCATTATTACTGACTTCATCAAATCTTCAATATATGAAAATTCTGTAATTTTCAAAAATGTATCTTAAATGCATAGTAAATATTTACCACGTGTACACTGTTTTATGGATATTATGCATCTTCAAGTATATCTGCGACTCRAATCAAGTAAATGTCTCACCTGGTTGTAAATCAGTGCATTTTTTTTCTTATGTAGAGTATGGTCTTTGGCACTGGTCTTACTGGAGCAAATCAGTTTTTCCTGAATTGGAAAAACCAGTTAGTGTGTAGCGGTACATTGTAGTTCCCTTACTCGCCACGAGGGGGCGACAGAATGTGATCATAATGTTTACAGACATGATGAAAGGCCATCAAAACTAGGCCAGTGGTGCACCTCTGACCTTGAGCCCTCAAAATCTGTCAGCTTTTCTTTTCCTGCTACATTTGCTTTCGACAAACTGTAACTAAATTGCACAAGATTACCTATTTTTAAAAGAATACTCAGCAAAATATTGCAAAATTGCATGAATTTATGGCAAAAAACAGTAAGAGAGTTGAACACATGTACACATTCATTTCAGTGTGTCCAAAAAAAAAATAAAAAAAAAAGACAAATGAGATGTTTCTGTTTATCATCAATTTTTTTTCAACTCTAGAGTTCCTGTGGAATTGATGAGTGGATGTACCTGTGGTAGTCAACAGGTGTCTGTTAGTCGGCCATCTTGGATTCAGAGAAACCTCTGCAGTTACARCAACTGACCACTGAATGGAGTGGAGCAGTAGAGAGCACCCCAGCAGCTGATCTGCTTTAAAAGGCTGAGCACTGCACTGACCAGCAGAGGGTTAAAAACATACTAAAAACTGAAACAGTTCTGAGAATAATATTAGATTGTTTTTTGTTTGTTTTTTATTCAGAAAGATACAACTAGCTTCACAAGATTCACCAAAAGAGCCAGGATAGTGTCTATTTAAAGCACGCGTCAAACTCAAGGCCTGCGGGCCGAATCGGGCCCTTGTTAATGTTTTATCCGGCCCCAAAGGTAATATCTTAAATGTAGGTGTGGTAAAATTTATTTATATAGCACTTTTCAGCAGCAAGGCATACAAAGTGCTTTGCACGATTTCAGAAATGATAAAGCAAATAAAAAAATAAAATACTTTTATTGTTTCTCTTTTTGTCTCTATACTTAGGTCAGTCTTCTCTCGACTATTCTTTTCTAAATTTAAAGTCAAATAATTGGATTTTTTTGTGAAGTTTTTTCAAAYCAATTTGCTGGATTGTGATAAAATGTACCTCTAGGAAATATTAAATTAAATACCGTAGTTGTGAGTAGTAAGGCCTGAGAAAAACTGTAAATGCCGTAAAAGATGTGTATTTCTTTATTTTATAGGGTATGTTCTAAACATTAAATAAAATATACTTGGGAAAAAATGTATTTCTATAGGAATAATTAATTCAATAACATTTAAAAACTTTATTTTTCAACAAATAACCTTGGCTTGGACCAAGTTTGACCCCCCTGATTTAAATGGTCTTGACTGTAAAGCATCCCTAACACTGTCTGCTTCTTTTCCTCGTCTCTAGGAGTGGATGGAGAAATGTGGTGCTACCAAAAGCCGGGCTTTGAAGCCTTCCTCMTCACCGAGCTGCAGAGACAACAGCAGCGCAGCCAGTTCTGTGACACTTTGCTCAAAGCTGGAGGTACGAACTCAACAACCCGTTCATGGTCACTCTCATGATGCTACGTATCACTTTTAAAGACTTTATCTTGTTATTTATACCTACCGCAGGTGTTTCGGTGCCGGCACACAGTTGCATTCTGTCAGCGATCAGTCCCCACATCTCCTCGGCTCTGTCCACCTCACCGGCACCCACTGCAGGACAGAGCCGTCACGTGGAGTTCCCGACCCTGGGGGGCTGCACCCTGCTGCACATCATCAGACTCCTTTACTCTGGGGAGATGGCCGGAGTGGGGGAAAGCGAGAAGCAGCAAGCCATCTGTGCTGCAGCCAAGCTGGGGATCGGCGGACTGGTGGAGGTGACAAAAAGTCAAGCTGGAGGAGGAAGAGGAGGAGCAGAAGGAGGAGGAGGAGGGGTAACAGGGGCCCAGTTTGCAGAGGTCGGAGTCCAAACGGAGGGGGACGACTGTGGACGCAGCAGGTGGAGGAGAGAGGTGAAAGACGGGAGCACCTATCTGTGGAAGGAGACGCCGTCAGATGGTGGGAAAGACATGTGGACCCAAACAGAGGAAATGCAGGTGAACCTGCCCCCCCCTGCCCCCCCGCCTGCCTCCTTTGAGACCATCGATCTGGACATCTTCCAGAGTCTAGGACAGGTCCCCATCTTCGTCTTCCCTCCAGATGAAAACCAAGCGGTCTGTGTTCAGGAAGCGGCGCCCCCTCCCCTCCCTCACTGCTCCAGACAGGCGGAGCCCTGGAGCGGCTGGGCGGACCCCCAAGGAGCAGGCAACCACGAGGTGTGGGAGGCCGAACAGATCGAGCAGTTTGAAGGCAACATCGCCGGATACATCAACAACTACTTCCTGGACCAGATGAAGGCGGAGGGCGCCCCGGGGAGGAGGCGGGCAGGGAGGAGGCGGGCAGGGAGGAGGCCGCGAGGGGCCCGGGGGCCCAGGACAGGTCAGCAGAGGGCCGGGAGGCCCCGAGGGAGGACTGCAGGGAGGGGCCGCAGAGGGATCACTCAGCGGGTGGACGTGCAGGAGGTGGGAGTGGGGAGGCTGCAGATGCAGTTTCTGAACAGGTGGGGGACGAGGACTCCCAGGACAGGTCAGGGGGGCGGAGCCGTCGGCAGGAGGCTGCTCCTGAAGGAGAGGGAGGTCCCACCGGCTGCCAGGAGGGCCCCGAGCAGGAGAGGGCGTGGTAAAGGGACGGAGGTCAGCCAGAGCCGGGATACGGTGCTGGGAGGAAACACTGAGCAGGAAAACACTCCAACACAGCTCCACCAGGTGAGTTTAGTAAATTTACAGGATACAAAAGCACAGAACAAAACAAGTTCATGCGACAAATATGACGTTAGGAAATACATTTAGTTAAAAAGCTTGTCTTAATACCAGTGTCTTAAAGGGGACTTGTCAAATACATTTTGTTGTGAACTTGGATTCTCTAGGAGTGCAGAAAAGTTGGATTTGTTGCTGCTTTTTTGGTGATATTTTTCAACCTGTTCCGTTTATTTTTTATGATGTTTTCTGAACTGTTACGTCACAGTATTTGAGCCTGAACTGCCAAACTACAATTTCATCATCTTCACTGTCCTCTGGCTCTGGGTCAGACTCTGGCTCCAACATGTCAGGCTGGATGGACAAGTCTTCTGTTGTTCACATCTTTGAATTGATGTGAAAATAAAATGTTCCTGCGCAGCTATATAGTCGTAAACTCCTCAGTCAAGCTAGAGTGGACCGGTCTGGAAGCTGGAGGTGGGCGGGGTGTGAAGCGTCTTGTTTGGATTTAAAGAGACAGCCTCAAAACGAGTTGATCTGAGACGGGGCGTGGCTTGTGGAGTTACAATAAGGAGGAATTCAGACCAAATCATTGCAGTTCCACTTTATTTAGACCCCAGCTGAATCATTTAAAAGCATATTTCTCCTTTAAACCTTGTTTTAGGAACCGTTTAGAAGATTTTGTCCATAACAGAATCAACATTTCTATAATATATTGAAGAGCCTGTTTGTTAAGAGCTCTAAAAGTCAAGACTGTAATTTTGAAATCAGGTCAAAATTTGACACAGTCAGTGTAAAGAGGATAAGACTGGTGTAATGTCTGTGAAAGCTTCACCGCAGCGTTCTGCACCAGCTGTAAACCAGTGATGGCAGACATGTTAAAACAAATAAAGAGTTATAATAATCTAAAGGAGAAGAGAAATAAACATAAATAATCATCTCCACGTCTGATTTAGTTAACACAGACCTCAATTTAGAGATATTTCTCAACTGATAAAAACATTCTAATCAAACGTCATGAACGGTTATGGCTGCATTTCAGACCAGTGATTATAAACTTGTTCAGGTTCTCCACTATCTCGTGATATGTTATAAAAAAGATCCTTCCATCTGCTTTTTGTTTGTCATAATTGTTGTGTTTCTCTCTGATCACAGGCCAGTCTTGCTGGAAGCAGAGATCGACGTTTGGGAGCGAAGTCAACTCCAGTTCCTGCGCCGTCGAAGCAGCTCCACAGCCGCCCCGCTTTATCTGGCTCCTGTTCGTCTCTGTCTGATCTGCTGCGTTCCCCCGCCGCCTCCTGCATCTCCACAGTGTCGTCCGACCTCCCGACCGTCCGCCTCCCGCCTCCCGAGCCCCAGCCTGAGCACATCGACCGCCTTCTGGAGGAAGCCATTAAGAACCTGCATATTTTGGGGCAGAGCGACATAGACGGAGCTCCACATTCTGAGAGCGGCAGCGAATCTTCTGGCAGCACCCCGAACAAACCGCAGGGGTCCGAGGTCCCCGTCCTGCAGCAGCAGTTTGAAGGAGAGGACAGTGAGATTCTGGAGAACTTACTCCAGCAGGTCGACAGCTGTAACGCCAGAGAGAACGAGACGGGTGACGGGAGTTCCTCGGAGGCCGGCCGGCTGCACACGAGCCCGAGSAAATCCCAACGAGCCGAGACTCCGGCGGAAACCCCTCACGTCCTTCAGCCACGGTGCAAAAAGGCACCGGGACCAACCAGTCCCCTGGAGACCTCTGAGCCTCAGGGTGAAGGCTCAGAGGCGACGGACCGTGCTGCTTCCCCGGAACACGCYGGGAAATCTCAGAACGCCCGAACCAAGCGACCCAAGAGGAAAAAACTGGACTACCTGTTCTCGTTGGAGAAGAAGAAGACGAAGAAGTCCATGTGTTCAGGTGACAGAAAGGTCACCAGAGAGGCCGAACCAGAGAGGAACGGTTTGCAGCCGGAACAAAACTGTCTGCAAGAAAAGGTAGCTAACATTTCATCTCTGCTACAGTTTAGCATCTTTTCAGCTTTTTAACAGGTACGAAAAAAAGTGAGGATCCAAGTTCTCTCCACACACTAACATATGTTTCCTTACCATTGTACAAGGAGGGCAGCCCGGCCCCCTAACAGAACCAAATGTCCCACCTATCAACTCCCCCCAACAATAAAGTCGAGACTGCATCGCTGTTTGACTTTTTGAAACCTTTGATTTCAAGAMAAAATATTTATTAATACAGGATTTCAACAAAAGTGTAGTCTTTCTTTGGTAAATCTTTTGAAACTAYAGATGTTGTGCTCGTTCTGCGACAAACAACCTCACATTTAAACTTGCCAAGAAAAGTTCAGTGTGGATGAAACTAAATGATGACAGCAACGGCTGTGTTTTTGTGTGCATTTATTTTAGACAACCAAGACTCGTGAGTCAGCTGTGAAATCCTCTCAAAAAGGCACCTCTGGAAACAATCATCAAAACTGGAAAAGAGACAGCTACCCAATCAGGAGCAGATTTAGAGAGGAGCGTATCCTGGTGAGTTATGAACCCTACGTGTCTGAAAATATGAAGTATTTTAAAACAGGCTGTCACTTCTCTTATTKCCTTATCTACCTTTCAGGACACTACAGCCTATCTCGAGGCCCCGCTCCCAGCAGGAMGATCAGAAGGTCGCCGGTGCGGCAGGCCCAGGACCAACGGACAACTTGTCAGCTCGTCTAACGGCGAGAGCGCAGCGGCGCGGCCTCATCCACAGCCTGCAGATTCCTGCTGCGCAGACGGCCAATCAGAGGCAAACCAAGACAGAAACGAAGAAGGTCTGAGGGTGCGGCCGCTGGCGGAGGCAGAGGGACCTACAGGAAGTGGACAAAAGAGATGCAACGAGGACCCGAGCGAGGAGGCCGCTGCAACGAAGAGGATTTSCTTCGATCGAAGAGGAACACCCAAATCCAGCACAGACCAGGAGGATGGAACGGTTTCCCAGACCGTCGGTTTGAGAAGCTGTTTTCAAGGAGCAAAACAAGTCGATGAARAAATCACGGAGGAAAGTTTCACGGGAGAAGAGGAGGAGGACGGCGATGTGGAAGAGAACAACCGCCTGTTGGGTTTAAAGAAAYGGACCAACCCAGAGCAGGATGGAGACTGTGACGAAGACTTGGATGAGGATGTCGACGTGATCGGTGGTTGGAGTCCGGCCCCCGATCTGGTGAGACCTGTCCAGGTTGTCCCCCTGGTGGAAGAGGAAGAGGAAGAGGAAGAGGAAGAGGAAGTAAGTGATTTGGAGGTTGATGTAGTTGGAGAATGATAGAGCTTCCTTGCTGCTGTGAAGAAACTCAAAAACACCAAACTGAGGCGCGCTCTCAGCAGATCAGTTTAACTTCACCTTCAGTTTTTGGCAATAATTTTCTGTTTGGATTGCTCTGATGTTGTCAGAAAAGATTATTCAAATTTGATTTATTTTAATCATTTTACAAAGTTTATATTTCTGTTGGCATACAGTCTGTGTTCGGCAGTGTTTGTTTTAACTGTAAACCACGTTAACRTTAAACAGAGTTTTAATGCCAAAAACAAAACGCTAAATAAAAGTTCAGGTTTTGTAGTATTCAGAATAATTAGGAGTGTTTTATTAGTTGTACATATAACTGTGACTCTATTGGTCCTAAAAATAATTGATGTTTTATTTCGACTTCTGTTCTGCTACAGTTTGTAAATGYTTTAGGAAGCTTTGTTTTAATTGTTAGTTTGGTACTGTTGTTTTCACATTAAACCAACTATTCTTTAGTCATGACTCGTCTTCTGTTTTAATTATCCCCCAACACTGAAAGACAAACGATTGCARGTAAACTTGTCTGTTAGTAAAATCTCTCAAAAACCATGAAACAGATTTTAATGAAAGTCTGAGAAAGTAATCATTAGATGCACCAGCTTTGGAGCCAATCCAACTGAGCAAAAAATGCTAACTCATCAGTTTTAAAAACTTTAAGCTAAAATCAGAAGTGGTACTATTAACGTACAGGTATGCTGACTGTAACTGTATGTGCTGTACTGACTGTAGGGGTGTGTGTACTATATATATATTTTTTTTCTTTTGTTAAATGGGGCAGACATAAGATTTTTTTTCTTTCTGCTCCTTTTCATTTAATGAGTTTGTTGTGTTGAAATTTTTGTTTTTAATTAAATGAAATAAAAAAATAAATAAAAAATAACATTTCCACATTGAATTGTCAAGGTTTGACTGCTATGACCTCATCATTTCTGAGGTTTAATGGACTTTTGGAGCTTTATATCATGTTATAATGTCCTTCCCTCATCAAAAATTAAATTCAAATCTGAAATAATTTATTGATCTCAGAGGGAAATTAGATATTGTAACTCATTTAACTAAAAACTTATTGTAGATGCTGATGGCTGTGGGCAGGGAAGCTCTTCTGTAGCGGTCTGTATTACAGCGAAGTTGAAGAAGCCTCCGACTGAAGACACTTTGTCTTTCTATGACAGTCTGATGAAGAGGATGGTCAGGGTTGTCCACAATGTTCTTGATTTTATGTAAAATCCTTCTTTGCACCATCATCTCCAGAGATTCCACAGTCGTCCCCAGAACAGAACCAGCCTTCTTTATCAGGTTGTTTAGCCTTTTTAGGTCCCTGGCTCTGATGCTGCTGCCCCAACAGATGACGGCAGAAGAGATGACGCTCTCAACAACAGACTTGTAGAAGATCTGCAGCATCTTGCTGCAGACATTGAAGGATCTCAGCTTCCTTAAGAAGTACAGTCTGCTCTGTCCTTTCTTGTAGACTGCTTCACTGTTGAGTCCCAGTCTGTTGCCCGGATGAACACTGAGGTATTTATATTCCTCACCCACCTCCACTTCTCCCATGATGGAAACAGGGTTTGAGCTAACCCTGTTTCTCCTGAAATCTACAGTCATCTCCTTTGTTTTGTTCACATTTAAGATGAGAACATACCCCGAGTGTTGCTTTGACTCAGTCRTGYGTGTTTGTGAAATCCTCGAGTCTCCTGTGGAACTACATGTCCGTTGAGCTTGTCATAACTACTACTCAGTTCAATTCTTTTTAGATTAAAAAATGCTCTCGTTGAGGAAATGCATTGTTGAAAGCCAAGGAGACCAACCTCTTTTTAGGATTCCTAAGGATGACCCAGTTTGTCAAAAAAATGGTTGGACTTGGATGAAAAAAAATGTTATATTTGTGCGAGGCACTGTACTGATGACAGCTTTCTAAACAATTTGATCATTAACTAAGATTGCCACTAAAAGATGATGTAATCCCAAAACTCCCAAGTACGCACCAAGCGTCTGTACTTGCTCCGGTTCTTCAGAAAACGTACTTTTCAGGTCCGACGTGGGATCGTTCGAGTAAGGCTCAACTGCATCCTGAGTTGCCATTTTCCAAAATCCATACTATATAATGTTGCGATTTTTTAACAAAAACAAAACAATGCGCCTACAAAAGGCTGTAAACCACATGAAGAATTGTGAAGACGTGCTGAAGTGGGAGTGTCTGAAATGGTAGGAGGTCCTTAAAGAGACCGAGGCTAATTTCAAAGTGTTTAAAACCAGCTATGAAGCAAAGTCAATGTTATTTTTGATTTACAACATTTTCATAACAACTGAAGGTAAGTTATYTTAATGTGGTGTAGAGTTTAACTATGGAAAACAGACAGCACCCCCCACTTAAAACTTTGTCAGGATAAACAGTGGATGATTCTTTCAGGAAAAGCTTTTAATGTTTTTTTTTTTCATTTATTAATCTCACTGCTGATGTGTTCAGGTTACTACCTCCAATCTATACTGTCTAATTTTACCGCATAAATGTTGGAATAATTGCTGATATTTAGTAAAAAAAAAAAAAAAA